AACATAGATTAGCACTTCTATTTTACAATCAATCAGTAGGAAGTAATAGTTAGGAGACTTGTTTTGCAGTATTAGAAGCACATAGATGAAATAACGCTTCCGAACTAAAACAGAAGTTACATAAAGTCTGATACTGCCTAAATACAGTTAACTGAAACACTCGGGAAAAACTGTTTCCCAGGTATGAGCCTCTGTAGGAAATCTGTACTGTAAAAGTTTAGTTAGCCAGTACCACTAAAAGTAGCAAACTCCAAAGGAAGTTGAAATAAGTTACATCAAGATACAGCGATTCTCCTTTGTTTCAAGATTAGTATTTGTCAGCCTGCTCTGTGTCATGGAATACAACTGTCCAGGACTGAACCTTTAAGAATAAGCTATTTCTGAGATACAAACCAGTAACAATGTTAGAATATTATTCTATTACATTAAAAAAAAAAAAAAAGTAAGGTTTACTCCATGCTGTCTTTAAGAAGTCAGTGTTCAGCTTTGGTTTAAGCAAGTACAAATCATGTCAAAGAATACATGAAAAGTGTACTTGTGGAAGTTAAAACTGCTTTATAAGAAAAATATCTCAATCAAAACGATATAAGCCTTCCATAAGGCACCTGTAAATCACAAATTCAACTATTATGGAATAATGTTAACTCACCGAATCAAAAGCCAGTATCAAAACACCATAAACCTCCATAAATGAGAAAGACATGGACTCCAGTTCCAAATGTATTACTAATCATAATATTGGTACATTTATTGCATGTCAAGTTTCATTGAGATGAAACACTTATTAAACGTTGAGCTTCAGTATTTAAATCACTCAATCACACTTTCCAACTGGGGAAACAAAGTGCACTTATGGTACACTTTTAAGCCTGTGTGCATTACTACCACTGCACACAACACAGGCACAAAACAAGACTTACTCCCAGAGTCTCTGTTTTTAAAGACACTATACTCCCAGTCTGAATCTAAAAAAAAAAATAAAAATCAAAACTACTTTTCAACAAGGCACACTGAATCACACAGAAGGAAGATTCCCATTGCTACATTCTCCACTGTGTTACATGTGAATTAAGCATGACTTAAAGTACATCTTATGTTACAATTTTTTTACAAACAATTACACTCATTTACCTGAGACTCCACAGTGACTGTGATCGTAGAGATGCTGCTGGTGCATGGCAGATTTTTTGTATATAACATGAGGATGACCATTCTCATAATTAAAGTTACTAGAATCTTCTGTTATGTTCCTTAAAGGCTCAATAAAATACTCTTCATCTTCTGTAGCAATGACTCCATGCTTAAAGAAGGAAATAAAAAAATAAAAACTTGCAAAAGGCAATACAGAACTCCTGTTAAGAATTTTAACTTTATAAAGCATTTGACTATCACCTCTCTCTGTGAAGAAATCCACAACTATAAGCCAACAGAGAAAATAATGTATGATCCAGCTCTCCTCTACTGATTTTAGTGGGAGCCTAATAAGTAGCACAATGAGAAAAGAATAAAAGTATCATTGCCCTATTTCTGGAGTTCTTTCCCATCATTTTTGGTGGATGTGGTAAGAAGGCAACAGATATTTTTGGTATATGACAAATAAAGCCTTCACAGCGATGTTACAAAACTACATGATTTTTATCTGTTAAAAGTGATGCCAAGCCAAAATGGCCTTACCCAAGTAGCAAGACTAATACCAGTCTACGATGCTACACCAGTACATGTCTAAAGCTACATATTGCATTAGAGAAAAATGGCATAAAAGATTAATTTCAGAACATATACTCAGAGAAACTATTTAGTGTTTTATATCCAGAAGCTTAATTCAAAACTGAGCTAGTTATTAAAATCAAATTATAAATAATAACTTAAGATATACCATCCACAAAGCTTTTATTCCTTGAAAGGTCTTTCCACAATTCTGGCAAATACAAATTGTTGCAGACTGTGCACTAGACCTCATTCTCCATAACAAATGAACTTTTTTTTCCCCCCTCATAGAGCAGTGTAGAATAGTAGATACTCTATTCTCATAACTTTCACATCTGTGAACTCAGTTTCTTCCAAACAGGAAATGGTTTATGGAAGAAAGGGGGGATTTCAGGCCAAGTATGTGATTTCCTGAACCTTGAGCAATTAAAACTGAACTTTAGCAGAAAAATCAGTTTTGAGATACTTCGGGATATAGAAATATTGGGGCATAGGTCCTGACACCCTCCTATGCCTGTATTTGCTAAAGAAAAAAATCTGGTATCTAGAAAATTCTGAATGTATGAACATTCTAGACAAACAGAAAGAGTTACTCATGAGGTAGGAGATTGGAAGCAGGAACTGCTACATTCATATCCTGATTTGATGAATCACAAATTTCTACCACATGTTTGATCTATAAGACAAGTGCTATACACGAGTCCTTTTTTAAAATGGGTTACTATTTTTTTTCTCCAATGAGACCTCTACGGTCAGCCATAAGACTACTTGTGCCTTATCTGCTCTTAATACTCTAAAATTGTTTCTAAAATCAGGGCTTACTATTGCACTCTCGGTCAAAGCTTTCATCCTGCTGCTTTCTACATCAAATGCCTGCTGTTTTATACTCTTGGAATAACAACGCAACAACCATAACAACAAACCACCACCACTGGACTATCTGACCTGCCAGAAGGCCCTGCCTGGACAGGCTGGAGAGTTGGGCAGAGAGAAACCTTACAAAATTCAAAAGGGGCAAGTGTGAAGTCCTGCATCTGGGGAAGAACCACCTCCTACACCAGTACAGGTTGGGGGCTGGCCTGTCAGAGAGCAGCTCTGGGGAGAAAGATCTGGGAGTCCTGGTGGACAACAGGCTGACTGCGAGCCAACAATGTGCCCTCACAGTCAAAAAGGCCAAAGGCATCCTGGGGTGCATTAAGAAGAGTGTGGTCAAGGGAGGTCATCCTTCCCCTCTGCTCTGCCCTGGTGAGGATGCCTCTGGAATATTGTGTCCAGTTCCAGGTTCCCCAGTTCAAGAAGGACAAAGAACTACTGGAGAGAGTCCAGTCCAGGGCCAGTAAGATGATTAGGGGCCTGGAGCATCTACCACATGAGAAACGACTGAGAGAGATCGGTCTGTTGACCTTAGAGAAGACAAGGCTGAGGGCAAGTGTCAGAAGGATGGGGCCAGATTCTTCTCAGTGGTGTCCAGTGACAGGCCAAGGGGCAATCATCACAAACTGGAAAACGGGAGGTTCAACCTAAACATAAGGAAATACTTCTTTTGAGGGTAATGGAGCACTGGAACACACTGCCTAGAAAGGTTGTGGAGTCTCCATCTCCAGAGATTTTCAAAATTCGCCTGGACGTGTTAGTGTGATCTACTCTGGCAGGGGAGTTGGACTAGATGGTTTTCAGATATCCCTTCCAACCCCTATCATTCAGTGACTCTGTGATAGAAATTACAAAATAAAAAATCCTGTGCAGCACAACAGAAACAACAGTGGTTTCCAAATAGAACCCTATTAAAAATACTCAGAATGTATGTATGAACACACAGCAACTTTCAATTACACATTTCCTTACATAGTAACTACAACAGTAAGTGTTCCTCTTCAGTGGTATTTTTCCTTATGAACTCAATTATTTGCCCGAAAAGGTTACATCAGTTTCTGTATTCTCCTGGAAGATGCTGGTATCAAATTCCTCTCACAATGCCTTCTTGTTACTTGGGGTCTAAGATTTTACTAGAAAATAAATCATTTACTGGTACACTGCTACTTAAATGGTATTGAAAATATAAACCAAACTGTAACAGGGTTTGCCAGATGTGCAGAAAGAACCTCAAAAGTCTGGACTGCATCCAGTCGAGATGTCAGGCACCTGGGTTCAAGTGAATTCTGAGCCATTATACGCTCTGGTATTATGTTCCCACAGGAAGAGAGTCCTGCAGAGTGGTTCTGGCCAACATCATCGGGCTGTCCATTTCATGCCAAGTCTGAGGACACAGAGGTACAGAGGTACCATCCAACCCCATGGCTCTGTCTCTAACACACAGCTGGTCTTAAATCCTATCACTCCAGAGCACATACCCTCTAGGCTGGCACTCAGGTCCAGACAGGTTAACAAGTCCAATCATGAAGGAAACATTTCTATCAGATACTGAAACTGATAGTTTTAAGCAGTTAGATGACCCCAGTGGGAGTGAGTCAATTTAGACTCCACAAACAACACTTCATTGCAGCATTAATCGTCTATAATTTTAAATGCTTTCCATACAAAACTGTTACAAACGTCTGCAAACTATAATCACAGTTCTTTCAGGTACCAGCAGTAAAAAACACTAGAAGATATCATTAATTTTTTCCTACATCTAGCTAACACCTGATCTCTCATCTTCCCAAACACCACAGTTGTTTAAGAAAAGAGAGATTTTATTAATATTTGGCTGAGGAACCGGAAATAAAATTTAACTTATACCTACCACCATGTAGTCAGAGCATGTATGCGGTCAGCTGATGTAGCTAGTCAAGTTATTTGACAAACACTGGAAACACTTGCCCTGGATATGCCCTTCACATAAGGCCAGCATATGTATACCACTTAAAACTAACATTAATTTTGCTTTCAATTAAAATTTTCTTCCAATATTAAACTGATGAAAGTGGTCTTGGTTGAGCTGCAGTGACTGATTTTTAATAAGCGCTTGGAATTCTGTACATAAAAAGTACCTACATGAGTGGCAACCAACATTTATTCTAATCATGAGTTTAGAAAATTCATGTGGCTAGAGATAATTGCACCGTATGTGCATTCAGCAATGCCTGATTAATAAACACTGAGAATTATGTTATTATATCCAAACCAACATTCTAAATTCCATTTTTTGCTTATAATCTACTATTTGAGCAAAACATAATTTCAGCTGAAAAAGGAGAACGAAAAAAACGCTCTTTTAAAACATCAAAAGAAATATCAATTTGCTTGTTTACTACTGCTTTTGAACAGTTCACAAATTAAATTTTGGCTCCAGAGCTTAAGAAATATCATTAAGGTGTAAGAATGAGTAAAAAGATTTGACAAAATATGATGAATTTAAAAAACAAGCTGAATGCCCCAAGTACATTACTACAAGAAACATACCGAAGATTATTATCTAAAACAGATTGTTTGAGGTCCTGCGTTATCCAATCTCACTACAGACTGCCAAATCCTGCTAACATATATAAGGTCTGGATCCAGCAGTCTGACATGCTCAGACAAATCTATGAATCCACATGGAGTTCCCCTGTGAAAAAAAAATCTTTTTTTCTATCAGGCTGTCCAGATGGGGCCTTAACCTTCTTCAGATGGGGGATGTCCCTCAGTCACAGAAACAAACTCAGTCATAGAGGACATGTAAGATCTTGCCTTTTCCACACAGTACTACTGTATTACAATTTCTACATGCCTTGAATCTTTTCAGACTTTATGCTTTACCTACTTTTAATATAAAGTAGTGAGAATGGAAGCTTCTGAAAACATGTGTTGTTCAGTATGTCTACAGCTGCCCATATACTTCAGTATGGTTTTATGACTGAAGAAAAAGATTGCATTGGGTTACAATATTCTTAAAGATGAAAAAAAAATTGTGATCTGGCCTGAGACAGTATGTCATTTGCCTAATAAGACACCTTAAAACTAAGACAGGAGAGCTTCTATGCAGTTTTATGAATATTGTCTATACTGCAAATACATATTAGTACCAAAGAGAAGTGCAAAGACACTGATCTAGAACACCACAACCTTTTCAATATTTCTGATCTTTATAAATTATTTTGTAAGCTAGACATTATTTTACATATGATTAAAAAAATACCATGCTTGGGCATTTTTTCACTCCTTTAACCAAGTAAGATCGCAGTTTTAGACACAGCCTACTTCCTGTGCCTTCTTTATCATTTGTGTTTGGATGGAGACAGCACAAATGTTACCCAGTGCATAGAATTTCACATATCATGGAAATACTTCACCTTTTACATTAAACATTTCCTTGGAAACACGGTAGCCTCAAAACGCGATTTAACCTCTCATTCACTTTCCTAATAATAATAATAATTTCCTACACATTCTAAAGTATTTCCCACTACTGGGCTTTTCAGCTCAAAATAAGAAAATCTACTACTATAGAAAACTTGTTTGAGCGCTCAGTTAAGAGCTTTGACACCTGGCAGAGGACACAGCTGAGTCAGAACACAAAAACATTGGTTTCTGCTTGACTCCACTACCACAAGCTCCAAAACTTTTCCTCTTTAAGATTTGCTTTCCTCAGTATTAGACAAACTTCTTTCCATTGAGGTAAAGTTCTTCTCTTAGGCAATGCCTCAGCTTTCTTGCCCTGCATCCAACGGCCCCAAAATGCTCCTCGTTGCAGGCTCTTTCATGAGAAGGCCAAACCTGCAATCCATCCACAAATTTAACATCCACTAAGTAAATATGAGTTTGGAAGCCAGCAAGCCTGCTGGACAAGACCTTCAATTTCCTCACATGATTGCTGACTGGATTATAGAGCTTTCCTCGTAACTTCAAACAATTTATAGCATAATCAGGGCCCAGCAGACGGAAACTGTTGGAATGAAAGTTCAGTATGTAACAGCCTGCAATTCTGGGGCACTTGGTAATGAGAAATATAGAGGGAGAGGCTGAAACAGGAAAAAGTGACAGGGAAATGAACGAACTGCTCATCGCTGTTATTGTAATGAAACTGAGAGAATGGCCTCCTTGCACCAGAACTCATCTCAGATTGAACAACATATGTACTAAGTCATACAACTTACGTTAATTAGATCACAGTCTCACCTGATCATCGTTAAAATCTAAAGAGAGTAACTGAAAATAGTCACTAAGTGGAAGAAATCTGACACATCTGGTAATACTGAAGCCTAATGGGACAACTGGAATAAATAGAATGCTTTGATTTTGCTTGTGAGGAACACTGACTGTTAAATGTTACTACTATAACTTAGAGTTATATTTAAAATGACTGGCTCTAAGGCAGATATTAATCAAGGACTATGCAGAATGTGACTGGCAGACTCTTACAGACCAATAATCAGACTGAAAAATACAATGAATGCCTCAAGCACGACATACTCTGAACTATCACTAATTCTACACTGCCAATTGCTTCATTAAACATGTTCTAACCAGCAGTTGTATAACAGAATACTAGTCAGTAGGAATCATCATTTAAAAATAACTCCATGATGGATTTATTTGAATGGAGTGGTAACTCCCATACTCAGGGCTCTGGAAGGCCCCGCCAGTGCTGGAAGACAGAGGAGTCTCTGCACAGCAGAAGATGACAGAGTCAAGCCTACCACTGCAGGATTGCTGTCTCTCTGAGAAAGAGCCTTGTGTCACCCCCACTGTGCTTCTGCAGCATGACAGAAGCCTCATATATGCTTGTGTCAAGGCCTTCCTAGGAGATAGAGTGGACACCTGGCACTGGCAGTCCCAAGTGAGAGGCATAACCATGAAGACCTCAAGAGTGCCAGTTGTGGTGTGCCCACAGAACTGATTAAGGCTGCCTTAATACCTAGAGGAAATACAGAAGAGCTGATGACAACTAAAAGAACTGAAGATGATGATTTAACAGGGAAGTACTCCACAATAAAGCTAATTCACGAACACTACGGTAACATACTGACACCTCAAACCATAGAACAACAGGCAGTTCCGCTTCAGCAAAGGAGCAAGGCTAAGGGCAGAGGGAAAATGTGCAGCAATGGGAACATTAAATGTCACCTTGAGGTGTGAGGCACAAAAGCAAAAAATAAGATTCTGCTTCATCATTACACTTCCCATTACACAGAATTCTTCAAAGAGAAGTCCATGCAAGAGATGAGCAAAGCTGACAGGAAAACCCAACTCCCTCAGGCCATTCTCACAGGAGGGGTGCTCCAGCCACAAAGGTGATCAGCATCTCTCCTACAAGGACAGGCTGATGCATTAGGTCTGTTCAGCCTGGAGAAGAGAAGGCTCTGGGGAGACCTTATAGGGTCCTTCCAGTACCTGAAGTGGACTACAGGAAAGCTGGTGAGGGACTCTTTATAAGGCCATGAGGTGACAGGACAAGGGGCAACGGTTTTAAACTAAAGCAGGGTAGATTTAGGTTAGACATGAGGGTGGTGAGACACTGCAATGGGTTGACAAGAGAAGGTGTGGTTGCCTTATTCCTGGAACTGTTCAAGACCAGGCTGGACGGGGATTTGAGCAATTTGGTCTAGTGGGAGATATCCCTGCCCACAGCAGTAGGGTTGGAACTAGGTGATCCATAAGGTCCATTCCAACTCAAGCCATTCTATGATTCTGTGAAAACATGGACTTTTTCCTGCTTTACCCCACTCTGGTTTTCCTAACATAAAGGAAAACAAGAGTCAGCTGAAGTAAGAACAGGTGTTCTTGGCTCACTCCTTGGCCAACGTCAGATAGGAACTGAAAGAGGAGCACCACAGCACCGACGGCAGGCTCAAAGGGTACCAATCAGCCTGTGCCTCTGAAGATAGAGGCATGCAATCTCTTTTGAAGAATTATGTCCTAAAAGCAGTGATTTGGTCTCCATAGTATACTTAGCTGAAAATAACTCAAAAGTAAAATGATTGAGTATATTAGGTGAAGAGCTTAAATAACTGCGACACAGAAATTATTAGATGGGAACTGCAAAATGAAAATGAAAACTGTACTAAACTCAGACCTATCTGCTAAAAGCATTAATCAAACTGTGATACCACACTCAGTGGGACATCATATTAACTACATTTTCTTGAAAGTGCTCACTTGGCCCTGGAAATCCGCACTGAATTCTATTTTTCCTTAAGAGGACTCCAAAATGTTAACCCAGACTGTACTTGCAATCTCACAAGTAGCTGGGTGTAGTGCGACCGACCTAGGTCTGAAGCAGATGGCTTTTGTTTGTAAATAACATCCCAAGATACACTAATCAATATCACTTCCAAGGATAAACAGGAATTAGTTTAGCAAGTCTGTGTAATTGGTTTTTGCCCTTAGCAATTAGTTAGATCTGTCTACTTCTAACAAGAAAATTGGCCAGTGTTTTCCTATAATTAAAACCAGAATGAATAATTGTGATATATACATTTTTACTAAAGAAATTACTAGCTATTGATTTGATATTTCCTAGTCATGCTCTTCTATTTTATTATCGTGTTACTTGATAGTCATTTTTTTCAATTTTTTGCATTTGTCTTCTAATTTCTGTTGGGAACAAAAGAAGCTTCTTCCCATGCAAGTACTACCATTACATGATCAAGAGATCAACTGTAAAAGAAAAGATAAGTTTCTTATCCTGCTTTTAAAAGTAACTATTTACAATTTGTAAACAAAATATTTATTTTTTTTTTAAAAAAAAAAAAGGTAAATAATTACTTTCTGATGATGGTACTTGCAAAGGACTTACTTTCCTCTTCACTCTTTCAATTTATAGTAATGATGGCTTCCACACCAAGTAATTCCTCTTCTCTGTTATCTACTCAGAGTTTCTAAAGCCAAATTCTCAAAGATAACAAGCCAGTGTTCAGTTCAATCAATGTCTCTCTGGAGAGACAAAGCATCCTAAAGGATCCACTGTTTCCTCCTCCAGGCCCCACGAGCCTGCAACATTTTAATAACCTGAAGGATCTCAGCACAGACCTAATCTTGCAGCCCTAGTGCAGACACTGTAAACACTGAAAATGTTGCCCACTACAGAACTACAGAATTGGGTCTTAGTACCTACAATCAAGCTTGAAAAAATGACAACTACTTTCTGCAAGATCCAGAGCAGGTTTTAGGGATTTTCTGCACCTTCCTGCCTGTTTGCTTCCCGCAGAGACTCAAAACAACTGAAAGATATGCCAATTAAGTTATTCTTCTGTAACTTAAAAGGGACAAGAACACTATTATATTAGAATGTGTAATGTGCACTTACCAGACCATTGCAGTTGCTTAAGGCCACTTTAGTTGTACTGTGTTGGTCTTGCAAATATCCTGTGTAATGACAGTGGTCTAAAAAATCGTGCTTCCATTGTGGTCCATCTTTCCCCCAATATTCTACTGTAAAATGTCTGGACACCAAATCTGTGTTGAGAGTCAGGTTTAAATGAAAGTGCTTGCCATAGGCAGAAAGTTTAAAAAATAATTTAGATGCTGCCAGTCCTTGGTCATAAGGGTCTGTGCTCCTCCTCCTCCTTGAGGGTTTAGCATTTTTCACAGTAAAGCTGAGGAAGGCTCCATTTTGATCAACCCTTACCGGGATTGTTAGTTGGTAGTGTTCAAGGTAAGACAGGAATTCCTCTTTGTAATCACAAGGTAAGACAGTTCCGGGAGTGGGCATAGAAGAGAAGAAAATATAACAGGAAACAACAAGTAGTAGTATCAACATAAACTGTACTTGGCTAAATCTCATCACTCTCATGAATAAAAGTCATGTTCAGGTAAATGCAAGATGCAGCATTTTACTAAATACAACAAAATGTTCTTTTCCTTATTTTTTAATTCATGTTCAGTTCCCTATTAATTTGATGTCACCAGAAATAGAAAAAATTTTAACTATATTTCTCTCTCCTGTTTACTCAAAATGTGCAAACATTCAGGGCTAAATTCTAACCTAAGAAGAACACATTCTTCCCAGTCATACCATTCAAAGACAAAAGCTATTAGATCCACCTGCAAGAAAAAAAACAGTAGCAATGAAAACTATTATATGGTAAAAACATGTAAAAGGCTCTTCATTCCATCAAATGTTAATGGATCAAAATAAGATTAGATCCTTACTTCCTATTATAAAAAGATGTTAATGTTGTTATGGCAAACCTCTAAACTATCCGTCTCTAAACAGATTTAATTTGCAAGGCTTTTCCACAGTTAAAAGTAGACAGAAACAAATTAAAACAAAACAAACAAACAAAAAAATGAACCATATTTGCTACATTTAAGCTCCCATTACAATGAATCAAGATAAAAGCAAGAGCAGACCCCGTATGATCTCAGCAATTACGTAAACATGGTTTAGAAAAATATTACCCAAATGCAATCCAAAAGTAGATGCTTCTTGTCAGCTACAGGTCAGACCCCTACCTTGAGAACTATATGAAAGCCTGTTGTCACTGTAAAATTCCGATGAAACCATGACTAGGCTCAAAATCCATGTCCACGTCTTCCAAAAAAATTCCATAATTTAGAAAAACAAAGTTCTGTACTTTTTTTCTCCTAGGAGAGCTACCTGTGAGCTATAGAGTTAACTCCACTCCAGAATCGCACCATAACAGGTATTTTTATTTTATACTACTTCCAAATTAACTATTGAATGTTCCACTTTTTGACAGGTATTCTTTCCCAACAACCTGTATTTTCTTCTATATCTGCAGTCATTTTCTCAATTCAAAAGAAGTGTTTGTAAGATTCCTTAAGATATCAGTAAGATGTTAGACTGGATAGTTACTGAACTTGTTCCATTTCTTTTCCTGAAAAACAAGAAGAAAATAAGTGAGGGAAAATTCTTTTGACTGAAACAGATCCCTACTACAAAACACATAGGTGAACTACGCAATGTACCATTTTTAAGCAATAGTAAAACATTGTAATTTTTATGGCCCAAGGTCACAATCTTACAAAACCCGTGAATTACCATTAACCTTGAACAGCGGATTCACACAACTTAAGATGCACATATTGACTTTATGCTAAATTGGCGTAAGGATTCATAAAATTAAGGTTTCTTCTTGCTCAAATACTGTGTTCAGACTTGCTCCAGCTATAATCAACGTTGTGCGCTCATTGATTTCAGCAGTGAAAAACTAGACCCAATACACTGGTAGACAAAGGAAGAACCTGGGAAGGAATCCAGAGGGCAGTTATCTGATCTTTCTGCAGCATGTATTTGGTTATTACTTGGGCCTGGGTTCTGCTTATGCAGGCAGAATTCACATTTACTTAAATGGGAATGCCGCACATTCTAATATCAAAGAATAAATTTCAGAATCCGAAGCTATGCATCGTACACATTCTACTTTTTCAAATATTTGTCATCAAAAGTGTTTTATATGTATCTTAACTACAACTTGATGTAGTAGAATACATTTTTATTTTCATTTTGCAGGTCACAGGATTGAGCAAACAACGTGTTACTTGCTCTTTCTTTTTTGCATTTAAAACACTACTGCAGTAATACTAAAAAGCAGCTCTAGCTGCAGCCAGGGAATAGAAGGAAGATCTACGCTGTCAGCTAATAGTCCAGTATCATGCGATACCAAACCATGTGTTGTGTCAGCTGGTACTAATCAGTCCTCATAAGCACTTGCAGAACACCTGTGCACAGAGCATACTCTGCTGAGGCAGACAATGGAGAAAGAGAAGACCTAAGAAGCAAAGACTGTTTAAAGAAAAAGATAAATCCAAAAGCATATAGAGTCACTTACACACATACCAGAAAATTCTGCCCTCCTAAAATTTTGGGAATGATTTATAACATTCATTCAGACAGGTAAAACACATGCAGCCAGTGGATTATTTGTAAAGGTTAAAGAAAAATCAACATCATGCAAATCCTATTTACTAACATCACAGTGAGTATTAAGAAACTTCTTATCCAATTTGAAATCCATCTAATTATTAACTGTACAAATGAGGTTACTCTCATCACTACCACAACTACTTTTTAAATATCTTTCAGGACAGCACATGGGATTTAAGCAGGTTTGTAGAGGGAATAAAACTGTAGCTTGGGCTTAGTAGTATTTTTTTCCTGGGGAAGCATAAGCATTTAGTGATGCCATTCATATGCATTGAGGAAGGCCTCAAAGCATATTAATAAAATCTCTGATCTGGCCTTCCATTATTTCCTAGCTAATATTTAGTTACAACTTTTAGACTTTTAGAAGTTTTGAAGAGACATAATCAATCCTGTATTCTTCACCTACATGAGTACACTAAATAATGTGCCTTATTTCTAATCTAAGAATGTCCAGTTTCAGATTCCCGTCACTGAATCTTGCTCTACCCCCCTCTTTGCTAATGAGCTGCTCCTCCTTGCATGGTTATAATCAGATGGTTATAATCAGATACAAGTATCCCTTGATAATCCCTGATAAGCAGCTCAACCTATTTGATTCACCTCACCCTGTACAATCCAGTTTCCAGATGTCTAAATACTTCTGCCTTTTTTTTTTTTTTTCCCCTGAACCCTTTCCAATTCATCAGCATCCGTTTTCATGCACAGACACCAGAACAGGACACTGTAGTCCAGTAACAGCTTGTAACTGCCATATATAGAGACAACACTGCCTTGAAGCTTTTACTTCAGCAAAAGAATTGTAACAGGGAGGTCATGTTCAGCCTGTTAGATTGATAATAAGTCATTCTAATATTAAGATCTCCTGAAACTGTAGTACTTAAGGAGCTAGGTGGCTCTGAATCCTGGGCATAAACTACAGTGTTCATTATTTAGACATCAATGCCTGCCATGATGTGCACTGGTATCCAACAGTCACCCACACTCAGTGCCTTTGCAGGAAGGAGTCTGCGTCGAATGGTCTCTCTCATTCCAAGCTTCACACAAGAAAAATATCCTTTCACATTAAGCTTGCTGGAAGTTTCAGTGGAATTTTTAACCTCCTTCCCAAAAGTATTATAGCCAGCTTAAGCACTGATATAAACAGACCACAAGTAGCTCTATTAATGCTCTGAATTAAGGAGTAGTAATGGACATGAAGGACAAAGTACTCAGGTAAATCCAGATACAGTACTTTCAGTATGAAGTTTGGTAGGAACCTCAAAATGCCCACTGACTACACGCTTTCTTCCTTCCATCTTCCTCAGTAGCACGTATTCAGCATTCCACTTTTGATTGTTGTTGAGATGACACATTTGGTCAGCACTAAGCTTAAAATGAGAAGCATTTCCTCCGTCCTGTGGCTGAACTACACATTCACCCACCACTAAGGGCGGGTATGGCTCCATGTCCTAAAACCACAGCTCCTGCCTTATTACAAAAGCTCTGCCAAGCAGCAAAGAAAAAGTACAAGATGTTTTTCAAATTCCAGGATGCCGATGACAAAGCAGGTGCATGGCACTGGCATTTCTGTGGAGGTACTGATGACAAAAGCAGCAGTCCTGTCACTGGTGCCATGAAGCTTCTTTCCCACTGCAACTCAACGAAGAGGAAAAAGGTTGTGAACACATACTGGAAGACTTTGGGGCAGAAAGTGGACTAACAGAGAGGTGACTAGCCAAACTGCTTGGACCAGTCACCTTGGGAGCCTCCATCTAAGCAAAGGCACCTGAAAGCAGCTGAAATTTTAGGATGGGCAAGGTGCCAGAAGACCACTATCCCAAGAGCATGGCCACACGTATCCCTCCCCTGGGGACTGCCACGTCCCTGCCCCCCCCATCCACCCGCTCCCCGGGTCTCCACATCAGCACCATCTACCAGAGAACCGTCAAGCGGCGGCGACAAATTCTCCCGCTAGCAGCACCGCCACCGGCGGGTTTGGCAGCGAGGCGGAACGGCCGCGTCGAGGGAAGCGACAAATGCGTCTTGCTCGGCGGCTCCGAGGGGTACTAGGGGTGAGGTGCCACCACGACACCCT